AAACCACTGCCATTGAGTCAGATCCAACTCACAGTGACCATTTCTTGGGTTTCCGAGGCAGTATCACTATGGAAGTAGATTGCCCAACCTTCCTTTTGAGGAGTGGCTGGTGGGTTTGAACTTCCAGCCTTCTGGTTAGCAGTCAAATGCCTTAGGCACTATACCACCAGAGCTTTTTAAATTACCATATTAAAAAGAGTGAGAGAAAAAAGAGGGAGAACATGGCAAGGATTTATTCATTATCCTGGAAGCTACCAATGTATTTAAATGATTATCAGTGAACTCTACAACATTAAGTTATTTGACATTTTGTTGGAATTTTGTATCAAGATTATAAATCTGCTAAAATATGTAAAGGAGCTCTGGTAGCATAGTGCCTAAGGCACTTGACTGCTAACCAGAAGACTGGCAGTTCAAACCCACCAGCCACTCCTGGGAAGGAAAGTTGGGCATCTACGTCCGTAGTGACACTGCTTCAGCAACCCAAGTAGGAGTCACTCTGAGTCTGGTCTGACTTGATGGCACATAACAACAACAACAAAATATATAACCACAATAGGAAACAGATTAATTTTGTTTGTGAAGAAATTAGGTGAATTTAATTTGAAGACTTAGTTCCTGTTTTTCCTTTCCCTGTGGATAATCTACAGAATTGATTTAGTACAGACCAAGTAAGCACTCTGGGCTTGGCTAGAAAAGAAATGTTAGTATAATCTCTAATATCCAGGGCTCCCTCAGGAAAAGACACAAATTGCTCCTCCCCGGGAGATTGAGAGTATCCCAATCACATGTGACCATTTCTGTTTTTATTCCCAAGCATTTTCATCATCAACCCTTTAACTTTGAATTCTAATACTCTTCAATGATTCTTATGCCTGAACAATCTTCCCACCTCTTGCCTCCCAGAACCTTTTAACCAGGCTTTGGGTCTCTCATTCCATTTTAAACTATTTTCCCTACATTCTCAATCTCTGCTTCTAATGTTTGTCAACTCTCTCCCAAATAAGTGCCTTCTCTTACAGCCCTTCCCAGAAGAAGATGCTAATGTTGTTGATGTCCCCGGTAGTATCATACATGGAGGGGGAAGAGATGCTCTATCCAGTACAATTCACAAACACCCTTCTTTGGAGATGTAGTCCACCAGGTTAAACATTCTCTTACATCACTCTCCTTGTGGCTGTTAATCTACATAGCAGATCTCATATGACCTTTTCCACTGGCCCCTTACTACACTACTCTTCCTAAGAACTGACCTTACTCTGACTTCAGTGTCCATGTGAGGATTCAGGTAACACTCTCTCTTGACAGCTCCTTGCCATGTTTACCTTCATTCCATCATTATGTGTAAGCTGCACACATTCATAAAACACCCTAGAATTTGCATTTTGCAATTGCAACATTCTGAAACTACTCTGGAATTGTAAAATTCCAGATCCTGTCTTCTGATCATGATCTGTTACTCTGGCACTTCCATATCTGTTCTTTGACCATATGAAGTCTCTTGAACCCGTTATTTTAGCCCTGTCAGTCTCCTCTTAATCTCACTTCTTTCCCTATCCAACACAGACCATGGGATCATCATTTCAACTCCTTTGCCAGTCACTTATAATCACTTATCCCCTTGGCCCTTAGCTCCACCACCTGACAAAATGCTAAAGCTGGATCAATCTTAACCTTACTTTTTCAACTCCTATTAAGAGCTGTGTCAATAAGTATTGGTATAAATTTATAGTCTCAAAAGTCAGCTGGATCTTCTGCA